ACTTTAAATCAAGCAACATCTTGTTGGAACAAGATTTCACACCCAAAGTGTCTGATTTTGGTTTGGCTCGAACTGCCATGGATGAGGAGAGCAGACACATATCGACACGTGTCATGGGAACTTTCGGGTATGGATTTGTTTCCTTCTATTTTGTCAACTGACCATAATGGAAGGAAGTTTATGTGTATACCCATATTAGCTAGAGTTGATAATTCAATTCGTTATATCAATGATTTATATATGTTTTCAATCAAAAGAAAAACATGCTTGTGGCATTATGAGGAATTGCTTGCTTCCTATTATATGAAAGAATTGAGTACTCTGGAAGCCAATTATTGAGTTTTATGTATCATGGACTTTCAACTTACTCGAATCGTTTGTATATGATTTGTTATTTGAAGATACATGCAGGCATGAAATATAGAAATCTGTTACTGATGCATCCACTCTAGGAGAAAACGTTGTTAACATGGCATTTTTGTAACACATCCCGGTCTAATTTTGTAATTGCAGCTTTAGCTAATCTATCCCAATGACTAGACTACCCTTGTTCACCTTTTGCATGAATACTTGTGTCACCTGTCTTATCGAATATCTATGCTTTTAATTCTCCAATGTGCTTCTGCTGGTTGAGCCATAACTCAACACGTGGTCCTTGTTTCAAGTATTGGTACCAGAAGTATGTAATGCTGTTTAATTTCAAATGACTTATATATAGAAGCAGGTAGGTTGGCAAGGACAATAAACATCAGGGCTCTTATCGGTCATGGTTTTTCCAAGTATTTTGATGTAGATTTTCAGTCTTCAGTCTAGAGGTTAGAAGTCATGAGAAGAGTCCAAAATATTCATTCTACTGCTATAGTAACTAATATGTTATTTATCTTTCAGATAAGTTAAAAAAAAACCAAGGAAACAACAGGAGGTCATATCACGAAAATATTTTTTTCTGATCAGTATTGTGTGTAAAACAATCCTAGGCTGATACATAGCAATCTTTTGATCATATTTAGTTATTTGGTAAAGCGGACAAAGAAATTGACATCTAATTTCCTGACAAATAACTTATAGGTACGTGGCTCCGGAGTATGCAATGACAGGGCATCTTCTGGTGAAGAGTGATGTATACAGCTATGGTGTTGTCCTTCTTGAGCTCCTTACTGGAAGAAAACCAGTGGATATGTCACAGCCACCAGGTCAAGAGAATCTAGTTGCATGGGCCCGACCGCTCCTCACTAGTAAAGAAGGACTTGAATCAATTGTGGATCCATCTCTTGGAGCAAATGTGCCTTTTGATAGTGTGGCGAAAGTAGCAGCAATTGCTTCGATGTGCGTTCAACCAGAGGTATCAAACCGTCCTTTTATGGGCGAGGTTGTTCAGGCCTTAAAACTTGTATGCAACGAGTGTGATGAGGCAAAAGAAATGGATTCAAGAAGGTCTAGCCATGACGACTTGTCCATAGATATGTGTGCTAGAGTAAGTGTTGGCTCGGGACAGTTGCCGGATCCTTCGCAAGACCATTATGCAGTTGCAAACAATGATTCCGAACCTGATATTGAGATAGGACTGTCCGCATCAGATTTATTCAATGCATCTGCAGGATTTGAGAGGCAGGTCTCTGGATCTTTTAGGAGACACTCTAGTTCAGGTCCCTTGAGAACAGGAAGAAGCCAACAGTTTTGGCAAACAATTAGGAGATTTTCTGGAGGAAGTGTGAGTGACCATGGAGTTATGTTGAAGCCAAGATCCGGATCACGTTGACGGTATCTATGCTTGCATATATTCATTTCTTTCATTTTTAAAGGCTATGTTCAAGGCAAATCCACAAATCCTATAGAATTACTTTGCAAATTCACACTTATTTTAATTGAAAGAAATGCATAATTCCATCAATAGATGATAAAAACACTCCTAACGGAATTCTTTATGAAATTAGGACAATACTTTCCAAATTTAATCTGATTTAGTGGAATTTGGAATGCATTATTCTAGTTTCCTATAAAATTCCTTATGGTGTCATTTTTGTACTTTTATTTATTTTCTAATTGAAGTAAGTGTGGATTTACGAATAAATTTTTAGATAAATTTTGGATTTGTTGTGAATATAGCCTAAATCTAAAATTCATTATCACAAGCAGCCTTGGGTTCTCCATGGATACAATGGTAGGTTGTCCAAAATAAGAAAGTTCTTTGTTGAAAGGGAAAAATTGCAAATATGAGTTATAGAATCTGGGCTTAGAGAATTTCTTCCGGAGTTTTTATCTTTCAAATTATAACATTAGGGGTTAGTTTCCTTAAAATGTATACTATATTTTGTTTTATCTAATGACTACATTTCGATCCATAACTTGTGTCTGCATCCTTTTTATCAAGTCAAACATTTGATATTCAACTATTTTCTTTAATAGTTTAGAATAAGTTAGCGTATAAATTTTTAAGTTTCCTCAAACTTTTCTTAAAAGAAGATACTTATTTTTTTGATGTAATTTCACTAAATACTTAATGTATGCTCAATATGAAAGCTTTCTTTGAACTTTTTCTATAATAACCTATAAATTGGTTTACAAGTAAAAAAGCACTTTTATAGCTCGATTCTTAAAAAAAAAAAAAATTATCGAAAATTGAAGTGAAATATTGATATGTAGAAAAAGTTTATAGGAGTTACAAAGGCTTTTTGGAAGCCAAATTTAACATTTTAGAGGCTACAAACAAGTTTCTCAGAAATGCAGGATTTTTTTCATGTGATTGTGATGTGCACTTACTTTAAAAATACAATCTTTTCGAAAATTATTTATTCTTTTACTTCATTTGTTGAAATCTTTTTTTTTTTTTGACACATTTAATATTAATAAAGATAGTTTAACTTAAAAATTGTGATATTTGTGATTTGATGTGTAATAATTAATTTTGTCGGTGTTAATTTTAATTTTTTTTAAATTTAGATAAAAAATTATTATTATTATTATTACTTGTATGTAAATCCAATTTTCTCTCCCAAATCTCTATTTTTTTTTTTTATTTTTTTTTTCCCTATTCAAATTCAAATTTCTCCATTTGGAATTAAAAACGCAGTCATCCCCAAGCCTCAAAACCAGAGAACCCAAATTTAATTCGAACTCAACCTTCTTTGTTAATTCTGAAATGCCCACCACCTTTTAATTTAAACCCAAAATTAAATCTAAAATCGGAAAAGCCTTAACCAACCCACTGATTTGTTCATCCAAAACACACAAGCCTATGAAACAAGGCAAAGCCCAGCCCGTTCGGGCTTCATAAGAACCTCCGAGAAACGACGTCTGACGACATTTTTGAAAGAAATGCAGTCCAGAAATTGACAAATGGAAAGCCAGGGGTTGTCTTGGATATTATATATGTTAACACGTAATTGTAAGGCTTAGAAATAAGTGTTTCAGGTTCTTTTCATTTTAAGGGACTGTTTGGTTTGGTTTAAGATTAAAGAAAAAAAAAAAAAAAAAAAAAAAAAAACATACCGCATCGCTAACTGTTTTGGTTTCTAAACTGATTAACTGACTCAGGTTCTGAGATCCTAAACAAAGATTTTCTTTTTGTTCTTTTTACTATTTCTTTCCTTTGTAAACAAGTAGAGATGTCTTTTGGGATTTCTTCATTTTTTCTTGGCTTCGTTCTTCTTCATATCTCTTTGTTGTTAACCAAAATATTTAACGGTGGGTGTCTCGCATCTTTCTGTCTCGTCCTATTTGGTTTGAATTTTTTACATCATAACTTGTAATAATTGAGTGTTTCATTCTTTTTTTTTTTTTTTTTTACGAGAATTAGTGATGATTTTCATTCTTAAATTTTTAAATAAAAAATAAATCAAATTAAATTGAAACTTAATTTTAGGAGTGGTTACAACAATATGAAAAAGTAAGTGTTTAGTCACATTAAATACCAAAAAATTCTCTTTATCTATTGTGAGAAGTATTTATTGAATTATCTCTTATAACACACTAAAGATTTAAGTTAATATCTTATATGTATAAGAAATTGATTTTTAGAATCACACCTATTTAAAGTACAAATTATTATCTTTTAAACAAAATTTATTTTCTTTAAAATTCTTTTTTACATATAAATTTTAATTTAAAATTCATTTTTAACAAAGTTATCTCTTTAGAAATAACAAAAATCTATTTTTTTAAAAAAAATTATGAGAGAAAAAAATATTTTTTTAATTTTTAATAATGAGTTACCTAATTTACATATAAGATAAATAAATCTAAAAAGAAGCTTACGCTTGAATTTCAATTTATTTGTCTTCTTATTGATGTCACTATAATATTTCATAATTTGTGCTACTTTCTTGAATAATATTTCACTCGCTAACATAAAAATTCAATTCGCGTTATTAGTACAAAAAATAGGTCTATATCATTAACCAAAGTCAATTAATTTTGTTCAACAATAAATAATCATTCATGTATCTATAATTACATATTTTTGTTATTAAAAAAACTAACTTAACAATAACCAAAGTATTTCATGGTATATGTCCCATAAATGTCATAGTTGTTGGTTGTTGATCACCTTTAGCTTTAAAGTTTGTGAAAAATCATTTTAAGTTATTTGAGCGAGTCCAAAACGTACTAATTGGGATTGTGATCCATGTTTGATGCAATCTCAAATGGTTCAAATTTAAGTCTAATTATTAATCCCACAGTAGTCAAGATTCTTGCAAGATAATTACCCGCGAGTCTACAGTTGTACTGATATAAAACTCATGATCAACTAACGTAATTAAAAATCTTACATATAATTTAGTCTTCATAATCTTTAAACTCTTAACAAACTCTCCCTAATTGACCTACATTTAACACGTGAATGTCAACCAAGGTAATTGGGATAATGATTTACATTGATTAAACGTCGTAAGTTGAAATCTCGATAAGTGAAATCAATTCAAGAGGGATTAATAAAACGCTAAAATGACTTACCTTGATAAGTTGAATTAATTCTCACTCAACTAAAAGATGGACGAAAACTTTATTAGTTAAAAATTAAAAAATTATAATTTTATTATTTTAAACTTGAATGAATACAACTGTGAATTGATTGGTTATTTATAATGTAAGTCATATGAATAATACGAAAAAAAATCTCCTAAATTAAAGATAAGATTATACAAAAAAATAAATATAGAATATAATAGAAAATTTGCAACAATTAAGATGATTGTTTTCTAAAATATGATAGATTATTCAAATAGAGAATATCTTAATTAATTATGAAGATAATTGAGAGAGAATTAAGGAAGATTATGATCGATTTAGGAAAAGATTAATTGCCCCCATAATCCTCCCAAAATCCATGAGATTCAATCTCCCTTTAAGGTATGAGATTTGTTTTCTTCTTTCTCTTGATTTCTCATGCAGTTTAGGAAGGAAATCTCTCATTGGATGATTTCTCCCTTATGAAGAAATTATTTTTCCTTTTCTTGCTTACATCACGTAAGAGAAAAAAGACATGCAGCACGCATGAGCAAGAGCAAGGATGTCATGTGTGCACGTTGCATAGCATGCGAACATAAACATGTGCGCGCGGGAAAAAGAAAAATCCTTTTCCTGCAAGGATTCTCACATATCCCATCCCACATAGTCAAACAACTCCAACATTCTTTTGTTTCCTAAGCGAGATCGGCTCAAACAGGAAAGTAAATTCCAGTTTTCTAAATTGAGATTATTCTAAAGAATGATCCAAATTAAGGAAATGCAAGACTCCACAACCCAAGGAGATCGTGCTAAAGGAAAGAAGGTTGACCCACGCTATAACTTGGGAGGCCATTACCTACACGCGTTAGGAAATATTCAGGGCATGTGGGACAACAACAATCGCACACCACAGCAGTGTGCATGTGCACACATTAGCCTGAACAAAACATGCGTAGAAGACCGCACATGTGCGTACGAAACCAGCCTCACACATCAAGCCTCCACGCACTCAAAAAAACTTTTATGCATGTCAAAAACACACGACATCTAGTTTGCATGCACCAGATGCTAGCGACTAGTAAGTCAGCACGCCCTTTGCTCGTGGCTAGGCTGACAACCATTTCTTGAGTTCGATTTGGACTTCTTTTACCTTTCTTTCTTGTCTTCTAACTCCAATGCAGATTGCTAATCAAATTCCAAGTAATTTCCAGCATAAAAATCACAAAGAGTATTGGCCACAAAGAGAGGAAGAATTTAAGTAAAATTAAATTAGTTTATTTTATTATTTTCTTTTGAATTTTTAGATTAGGATTCTATCATTTAGTTATTTTTCAGTAAGAGTTCTAGTTAAATAATGCCTAAGAGTTTAAATAAGAAATTGAAATCCTACTCCGAGTTATATTCATGAATAAAAGCCTATATAAAAGTTTTAGTCCTTAAATTGTAATCACAATTCAACAATTTATCAAATTAATAAAGTTCAAACTTTCTTGCTTTCTTTAAAATTAGTTTGGCTAATTTTGTAAATGTTCTTCAAGTTCTTTAAATTAGGAAACTTTCAGAGTCTTATTGAATCATGAAATCATTATTAACTTATCAGGTAAGTCGATACGTCCTTCTTTTTTCCTTTTTATTTTTCCCAATTATATTGATTATTGCGTTCCCATATTGGTGGATGAAATTATCAAGTAGAGAGGGTGAATTATATAGTTAAAGTCTTCTGATCATACATGG